TATAAGCTTATTTTTCTGATTTCTCTACATTCCATGTGTCCAACCAATGTCACATTTTTTTTTCAGCAGGGGAATTGAAGAAGGTAATTGCAATTTTTATTTCTAATATGGGTGAAACCTAACTGAATGGGCTACTCTGTCTAAAAAATTAAAATTAGTCCAATAAGTAATTGGTACTGGGTTGTTTTATGCTGTGTCCCTAATTTAAGTGCATAGAAAAGCTAAATCCCTGGGAGAGAATGTTTTATCAAGTAGAAGAGTTTCTCTCTTTTCCTCCATGCTTCCATATCCACCTACCCTCTCAGTTGCAGATACCGTTCCAGAAATATTTTCGTGCACATCTTCTTTGCTTTAACTGTACAAACGTAAGAAAATTAATGTCTTTATGTAAGTGTGAGGATTAACATCATTTGGAAGTTTTTTGCAAAATTCAAATCATATGAAACACAGGCTTGAAAGTTCAAAAAGAGTATAGATATCAAAATCAGAAATGAAAGAACAAAGGCATGATTAGAATTGCTGAAGGTAAATCTATTTTGAGTGAAAAACAGCAAAGATTCCATATTATTTTTGGAGATACTGGTCTGTTCCAAGAGTCAGGGTTCATATAAGCAACTTGTTAATTCATCTTATAGGTGTGAATTACTCAGACTGGACTCAAACTGTAGTTCTCTTACCATACAATACAATGATTAGGTCAATTAATATTAAATATTTTATAAAAGAGTTTATAGATGATGTTAAGGAAGTATGGAATTTGGATGAGGTAGGATGTGATTTCTAACACGACAGAAAGAGTAGATTAAGAGTTAACGATTCTGTATAAGTAAATTGTAATTGGAGAATGGGTGTGTTGTTGCCTGATTAACTTTTGCAAAGTTGAAATCTACAAATCAGTAAGAGAGCTACACTACTGATTTCTTAGCAAGAAGAAGACATTAGGCCACTTCTGTTTGGTGGAACCAGGATTGAAGAGAGGAAAGTATCATTCTATGCCTAGAACTGGAATTTTGAGCTACATTAAATCCTTTTTCTTTATATTAAATGACCTTTAAAAAATCAATTTGCAAAAAGTATATACATTTTTATGATCTAAGTAAAGTTTCACAATGCTGAAATTTACTAATGTGACATTGGGAGACTATAAAAAATTGAGTATTTCCAGAAGAGCAATGGCACAATATGATAATAAGTAAAGGTTATTAATAAGAAATTGAATAACTGAATAAATCAAGGGACAAATGGTATGTAAAAGTAGAAGTTGGGAGCTGAAATAAATAAAAGAGTGAAAGTTCATGGATGAGAAATGCTGGTAGGGGAAGGAAGAAGGAAGGAAGGAAGAAAAGAAAAAAGCCTTTCTAAGAAACAGTGTTAAGGCTTATAATTATCTTTCAGATTCATCGTACATTTGTTTAGTTGAAGTTTGGGAAGTGAGCACAGTTTTTCCTGCTTACCATTATATTAGTCTCTTACCTACTATAATGGCTTTTATTGGTTTATGGTTTATCTATCAGTCATATTAAAATCCTGCATAATTATTCTGCATTTATCATAGTCATATTTATTTTTAAATTATAAAATAATCATTAGAACATCATCAACCAATATACAGAGAAGAAATTTTTAATGACTGCAAACCACTAAATGAGAAATATTGCAAATATATTGGTTCCTACGTTGCTATACCTGAATCAGTTTTGTTACATATATGGGCAATTGATATGGTTCCACCTTTTCAAATGCAGTGATTAATTAATTAAAAATATGAATTGAAAATTCTGTACTGTTCCCTCACTGTATTTTGTGACAAACTTATGGTGGTGAATAAAGGCAGACCTAGTTGCATGGAACTTAAAGATTAGTGAAACATAGAGATAGATAAATATTTAAAATATACATACAATATTCTCTTTGTTTTACAAAGTATGTCAGATTATTTCATTTCAGGCAAAACTCTTGAAATATTTCATTTTTCTATTTTATGTTAAATACAGACACATTTGTTAATGATGAGAAATTATGTAAAGAATTTCTTTATTATTGGATCCTTGGAGCTTTGCTCTTTTGCTTGTTCAGGAAACACATATTGTGTTGGGTTACATTAGGACTTTTTCCTCCTATTTAACAATGCTTTGATTTCTGTTTTCCAATTTCTCTCTACTACTCCAAACTTCTCTTAGTCTGTATTATTATAATATCTTCCAGTTGCATCTATTTTGCTGGGAAGTATAGGATTTTACTCCTTTGTGGCTAAATAATAGTCTATTATGCATATGTAGCACATTTTATTCATTCATCAATCAATAGGAGTATTGGTTGATTCCATATTTTCAAGATTTATTTGAAAGGCAGTGTGAGAGAGAAGGAGAGAAGGAATGATAGAATCATAGGTCTTCCATCTGCTGGATCACTCCAAATGGCTACAAGCCAAGAGCCAAGAGCTTCATCTATGCTTACCATGTGGGTGTGAGGCCCCAAGCCTTACCATCTTCTGCTGCTTTCTCAGGCACATTAGCAGGGAGCTATGTAAGAAGCAGAGCAACTGGAACTCCCACCACCGTCCATGTAGGATCCAGAATTGCAGTTGGTGATTTTTATCATTAAGCTACAATGCTGACTCAATTCCATTATCTGGCTATTGTATCAAGAATACAGTCCTGGCTATTGTATTGCAACAATGAGCATGATGTACATATGTCATTGATACTGTCATTTCTTTTTGATACATACCAATAGTGCAACTGCAGGATTATGTGTCGGTTCACTCTGTGTGGTTTTGCTTGTTTTTGCTTTTTGAGAATCTACATATATACTCTTATCTATAGTGGCTGTATTAATTTATATTCCCATAAACCATAAGAATACACCCTCTCCAGCATTTGTTACTTTTGGTTTTTTTCAAAATAGCCATGCTAACTGGGCACAGATGATGACTCACTGTACTTTTGATTTGAAATTCTCTAATGACTACTTAGGTTGTGTTTTCAAAATATATTTGTTGGTTATTTGTATTTCTTTCATAAGAAATGACTTTTCTGAGTCTTTGCTCATTTTTAACTAGCTTTCTAACTTTTAAGTTACTGACGTTTTGTTTTTACTAAAGATTTATTTATTTTTATTGGAAAGGCTGATCAGATACACAGAGAGGAGGAGAGACAGAAAGAAAAGTCTTCCATCCACTGGTTCCCTCCCCAAGTGGCGCCAATTGCCAGAGCTAAGCTGATCTAAAATCAGGAGCCAGGAGTCTCTCCTGGGTCTCCCAAGCAAATTCAGAGTCCGAAGGCTTTGGGCCACTCTCTATTGCTTTCCCAGGCCACAAACAGAGAGCTGGATGAGAAGTAGAGCAGCCAGGACATGAAACAGCGCCCATACGAGATCCAGTGCTTGCAAGGTGAGATTTAGTCATTGAACCATCACGCCAGATCTTGCTGAGCCTTCTTAATGTATTTTATATTCTGGATATTAACCCCTTGTCATGTAGATGAATTTAGATGCCTTTTTACTCTGTTGGTTATGGTCTTGGCTTAGTAGAAAGTGTTACTTTCATAAATCCACCCACCAAATTTGGCTTTTGTTGATTACATTTTTGTGATCTAATCCAAAGATATTTGCCTACATTATGTCTTGAGGTGTTCCCTTATGTTTTCCTCAGCAATTTTATAGTTTACTGTCTTCCTTTTGTAGTGTTGATTCATCTTGAGGTGTTTTTATATATATAACAGATTGGGATCTAATTTCATTCTTCTAGTTTTATCTGCATTCCATTTTACAAGCACTATCTATTGAATTGACCATTCTTTCTCCAACAGACATTAATCTATTAATATTTTATGTCATTCAAATTTATTATATATTTTACATAGTATTTTCTTATTAGTTTATTTTTAATGATTTTATCATTTTTCTATTTTTTATACACTTTGCTTTGAAAATGTTTAGATTTCCGTTTCAAATAATACAAACTAACAAGAGAGAAATCTTTTAGACCAATCCCTCTTTGGTAGTTTATCAGTGTATTAACAATTACTCTGCTGGGTTCTTTAAAGAAATGGGATTCCTGGGGAGGCATTGTGGCATTGCAAGTTAAGTTTATCCTGCCTTGCCAGCATCCCATAATGCCAATTCACATTCCAGTTCTGTGTTTTCAATCCAGCTCCCTGCTAATGTGCCAGGGAAAGCAGAAGGCCGACCCAGTCTGTGGACTTCTGGACCAACATGGAAGATCTAGAAGCTGTGGGCTCATCGTTCAGGCCATTTGAGCTCTGTATATTAAGAAGTAAAACAACAGACAAAAGATTCTTTTCTCTCTGTCTCTCGTCCTCTATGTAACTTGTATCTCAAGTAAATTAAAAATTAATAAATCTGATTTTGAAAAAAGAAAGAAAAGAAGCAAGATTCTTTGGTGCCTAAACAGAGTTAAATGTTTCACATTTGTCTAACTCTTTCGCTGTACATGAGTATGACTTGCTAGATGGATGTATAAACCATATTCATTGATCAAAAGGACGCAGAGAACTAACAGGTCCAAAACAAGTGACAACATTTGTAGTCCTGTTTAATAGCTGGATGAAGTGAATGCCTAACAGACTAACAAAACATAAACCAAAAAAAAAAAAAAGAGAAAAACATAGAATATTAATAATACCTACTTATGTTCCAGGTTTTTAGAAATAGTTCCAATGACAGGTCAAGACTTTAAGGGAGACAGCATACCAGCCCTTCCTTTTGAAAAGAAACATTAGGCTCAAAGAGTGACCCAAGTCATGAGACAAAAGGACGGTAGGACTCTTGTTCAAACAAAATTGACATCAGTCCTAATCCACCAATTTCCAGTAAAGAATAAGAGGTAAGAAGTTAAAGAAAATAGGGGAAAGGCATAAAATACATTGTAAAATGACTGATATGGGAGTAGTTGCAAATGCTGTAGGAACAAAAAGTTTCAATCCTTGTTCTTCATGAGAGATGTAATTGTCTTCTGGTACTTCCACAGGCTGAAGGCTATGAGACATGGTAACACCAGTTTCATAGAAGACTTTGTTTTGGTGGGCTTCTCAGATTGGCCACAACTGGAAGTTTTCCTTTTAGTCTTTATTTCAATTTTCTATTCGCTTACACTCTTGGGCAACATCACCATCATCACGCTGTACCAACTGGATCTTCGCCTGCACAAGCCCATGTACTTCTTCCTCTGTCACCTCTCATTTGTGGACCTCTGCTACACCACCACTACCGTGCCCCAACTTCTGGTCAATCTTCAGGGACATGACCGGACCATTACCTATGGAGGATGTGTGGCCCAGCTCTTCATCTTCCTCACTCTGGCGTCCACTGAGTGTGTCCTCCTTGTGATGATGGCTTTTGACCGCTATGCGGCTGTCTGTCGTCCACTCCACTACACAAACATTATGCACCCTTTTCTCTGCCACACAATGGCTCTGTCCTCCTGGGCAGTGGGCTTTGTGAATTCTCTGATTCAAACAGGTCTCATGATGGCCATGCCTCTCTGCAGCCATACACTGAACCACTTCTTCTGTGAGATGCCGGCATTCTTAAAGCTAGCTTGTGAAGACATAGAAGGAACAGAAGTCAAGATGTTTTTGTTTCGAATCATAATCCTGATTGTTCCTGCAGCATTAATTCTCATCTCCTATGTACACATTGCTCAGGCAGTGCTTAGAGTCAAGTCAATGGCCGGACGTAGAAAAGCCTTTGGTACTTGTGGATCCCACCTTCTCGTGGTCTCCCTCTTTTATGGTTCAGGTATCTACACATACCTCCAACCCAAACACCATTACTCAGAGAGTAAGGGGAAATTTGTTGCTCTCTTCTACACTATAATTGCTCCCATTCTCAATCCTCTAATTTATACTTTAAGGAACAAGGATATAAGTGGGGCTTTCTGGAAGGTGATAGGGAGAGGTAGAAACTCATGATAGGAAAGAAAAGATCAGGAGAAACCACACATATTCTATTGTTCATGTTATAAAATCCATCTTTTATTTTTTCCTTGCAGAGTAGTTGATTAAGGGAATCAGTGCTCAATAGTCTTCAACATTTTATTGTTCCCTTTAACTTGGGTGTGTCTCTTAGTACTCTATATCATTGAGTGTTCATGACTCCTATGCAGTAACATACTGATTGTTACAGCTTTCTGAATAAATAAGATTAAAAAGAAGGTTTATATAGTCACACGTGGAGTCTATATTACATTTGAGCTGAGTCTGAAAATTATGAAAGACAATTTAAATTAGCCATTGTTATTCCAAAGTCAGTGACTCCCAGCATAGTGCTACATCTGGTGTCAACCAGAAGATGGAAAATCTTTGTCTCTGTCTCCTTCTCTCTGTAAATATATCTTTCCAAGAAAATTAAGCAAATATTTAAAAAATATATATAAATACTTGAGAGTGAATAACACAAGAGAAAGAAGTGTTGGGGATAAGGGTTAATGAGCCAGGCACAAGAGCCCAGAGAAACTCCCTGAGTCCATCTTTATTATATGTGTGAAAATCAAGCATGGTGTAAATCTGAGGGTCTGAGATTACTTGCAAGTCACAACAACAATTATTAGCCAACACATTCATTGATTAATTATTTTAGTCGGTGTCCCCCTAAGTGCCAGGCAGTCTGGTGCTAAGTGAAGGACCCCCTCATTAACACAAGCCTATGATCCCCTACCTCCATGGTCTTTATGGCAATCAGGCCTCAATGCCAGCATTCCAAACATCTATCCCTTTCCATGATATGCACCTGAGCAGAAGAAAGCGTGCCTCCACCCTGATCTTATGCCCATAAATAATTATGAGAGTTAGGTACCTGGTTTCCATTAATAAGGTGAGGTCAGCTATCATGCATATTGTAGCTACTCAACTCAGGCCTTACTGAAGCTTGAACCAAACTGGGACTACAGTAAAAATCCCTACAAAGAGTAACAGGGAATGAGGAAAATGTTGATGGTAGAAAAATGGTGCCAGAATGCAATAGCTTCTAAGAACAAGTGTCAACGCACTGGAAGTTTGAGATGTTACCACTGTCATTCCATTCCACTCACTTCATATTTACATGTCAATGTTCAATAAACCCTATCAATTCTTACTCTATCAAAAACACTTTATAGTCAAATATTCATATTTTGGTACAAAAAATATTTGTCTTGGGAAAATTTCTTGTAGAATTTACCATTTATCCTTACAATAGCATTTTGAAACTTTGTGATGTTATGTTTACTATCTATTCACGATGAAACTGACATTCAATGTAATATTTTCCTTATCCAAGTTTACATGGCGAATGTGTGGTTAGGCTTTGATTTGACTTTCTGTATTCCTAAATCTAATCTTCAGTACAAGATTTTGCCAATTCCGTGTTTCTGAGAATGAATTTTTAATCAAGAGAAAATTCAGTTTGGAAAGAAAGTTGTGGCCACAATGACCATCCCAATTGTTTTTTTGGATGATTCCATCCAGAGTAGTAAACATTCTTGAGTAAAATATTATTTCATTACAGGATATACTTTCTTCCTAGCACAAAGCTAATTCCTGTTATAGCAGTTCCTGCACATCAAATCCTTGTTTTAGGAGTACTAAGCATACCAGACACTAGCTCTCTTTATTTCCTTTGATATGAAATGTGGGTATTATTCTAATTCTCTCTTATTGGATTAGTAGTCAAGATTCCAACAATTTGTAAATTGTTGTTGATGTTATGCTGGAGCTTTTAATGGATCGGAATGATATTCTGCCAGCTCTACCTTCAGACCAGAGATGGTCTCCCCAAGAAACCGATGAATTCATCTGGAGAGTGAGATGCTGAACTCTATGCTTGGTATATGCTTGCAAGATAAGAATCTTGACTGAACTTGAACTACAATACTGCAACAAGGTGGAGGAATCCACTATGTGAGGAGGGCACGGGCAGAGAATAGGGGAATCCCAGGGCCTATGAAACTGTGTCACATAATGCAATGCAATTAATAATAATAATAATAATAATAATAATAATAATAATAAAAGAACCTCAGGGTTAGATCAAAGGAACTTTTATTCTACATGAACAACATATTATGGTATAAAAATTAATGAATATTCATCAACCTAATGGAAAAATGATAATGTTGGCATAAACAGCATGGAGTATAATTATTTTTAATAATGTTTTATGCTTACCTTTATAATGTAGAGAATGTAGGCATCCTGTTACATTAAATGGAATATATTCTTAAAACCCTGGTTCAATTAAACATACACAACCAGTTTTGGGGGAGTTTGTTTATTTATTTATTTTTTTTGCAATATCTGGGCTGCAAATGCCATCTCCAAGGGAATCCATGCTGCCTGCACTGCTTTGACTTTATAATTCATGTCACTGGCTAACTGATCATCTGAGAGAGTGACTGCTCAAATCCCTTCAAATTGAGTTATTTCCAGCCTCTCAATTATTTACCCTGGCATGGAAAAGTTGACTCCTTGTGTAGGTAGAACTATTTTTGTTAAGAGTAGAATAGTAACACCTTGATGCCCATTTCCTATCTCCCAGGCTGGACTAAACAACCAAATCTGCTGGTGCATGCATGAAAGTGTAAGTGCAGGCTGGTTGAACTTTGGTTGAGCTTTAGTCCTGTCAGGCTAGATGGTAGGACCACATGAAAAGTACAAGATCCAGAGCTGGGAGGGGATCCAGTAGGGAAATTGTGGGCACTTCTCTAATGGGCTGTAGCTCCCACTGGTAAACATGAGAACCAGTGCTTGGGGTGGGCCTGGCTAGACAGCAGTGGCAACCACTGGCATGAGTGTGGGCTGGATAATGGAGCTGATTGGGTTGAGCCTTGTTTCAATGCTCACTGATGTATACTAGATATGAGATAGAGTGGACCAATCTGCTGCACATACCAGCATGCACAAAAACCAGGCAGGTCTGGCAGAAGGAATTGGAGGGTTGATCTAACTATACTGCAGTTCCTGCTAATGTACATAAGGGCAGAGTGTGTGGTGGACAGGGTTAGGCTAGGCCTCAGTATTTATTGGTTTGTGTATAAGATGGGACTAGGGTCAAAACTGACCAGAGGACTGTAACCACCAGTGTGTGTATAGGCTGGTATGAGTGACAGACTGAGCCAGATCCTACATTGGCTGGCACACATAGAAATCTGGCAAGGTTTCCTTGGAGACCTCCATAACTGGACCACTGGACTCAGAACTCCAACCATGGTGAAAATTATAGCTCCTATGGTCTGACCGTGGAGTTCATGTGACAGAACTGGATCTCTACATTTGCTGAGGCCTGTGCAATGGATAGCATGCCCAGATCAGATACTGAAGGAGGACATGACAACCAGTTCATTGGGGCCTGCAGAGGACGTCTAGTACCATGGATAGCAGAACACATTGGACAACTCTCCCTGTTCAGCTTCCTGTCCCACCCATCCCGTCTGTCTTCTCGTCTGTCTTCCCTTCCCTTTCCTTCCTCTTCCCCACCATGTTCCCATCCCTCCCCTTAAGGCTGCCTGTCTGTTTTCCTTTCCTTTCCCTTCTGTCTTCCCATCTGTCTTCCCTTCCCTACCCTTCCCTTCCCTTCCCTCCTTTCCCTTCAGTCCTCTCGTCTGTCTTCCCTTCACTTCCCTTCATCTTACCCACCGTGTTCCCTTCCTCTCCCTTCCAGCTTCCGTCTCTCTTCCGTTCCGTTCCCTTCTGTCTTAACTTCCATTCAGGCTTCCCATCCGGTTGAACCTTCCCTTCTCTTCCAGCTACCTTCCCTTCCAGCTTCCCGTCCATCTGCCCTTCCCTACTCTTCCGGGTTCCCATCTGTCTGCCCTTCCCTTCCCTTCCGACTTCCAGCCCTTCCCTTCTGTCTTTAAGTCTGTCTTCTCTTCCATTCCTCTTCCCCACCGTCTGCCATTCCCTGCTCTTTCGGCTGCCCATCCTTTCCTTTCCATTTCAAAACACGTCCCTCTGCCCTTCGCTTTCCTTCTAGCTTCCCGTCCGTCTGCCTTTCTCTTCCCGTCCAGCTTCCTGTCATTCTCCCCTTCCATTCCGTCTTACCGTCCCTCACTTCCCTTATGTCTTTTCATCTGTCTTCCCTTCCCATCGCTTCCTCTTCCATACTCTGTTCCCTTCCCTGCCCTTAATACTGCCCGTCATTCTTCCTTTCCTTACGGCATCCTCTCTCAGCTCTTCCCTGCTCTTGGGGCTTCCGGTCCGTCTGCCCTTCCCTTCCATTCCAGCTTCCCGTCCGTCTGACCTTCCCTTCCCGTCCCGCTTTCCGTGCATCTGCCCTTCCCTCCCCTTCCGACGTCCAGTCCCTCTGCCCTCCCCTTCCCGTCCGGCTTTCCATCCATCTGCCCTTCCCTTCCCTTCCGTCTTCCAGTCCGTTTGCCCTTCCCTTCCCTCCCGGGTTACCATTCAGCTGCCACTCCCTTCCATTCCCGTGTGGCTTCCTATACTTCTCACCTTCTGTCTTCCTAAGCATTTCTTCCCTTCTTCCCTTCTGGCTTCCCTTCCTCTTCCCTGCCCTTAAGGGGCCCGTCTGTTTGCCTTTCCTTTCCCTTCCAGCATCCTGTCTCTCTGCACTTCCCTTCCTGTCCTGCTACCCGTCCCTTTGCCCTTCCCTTCCTACTTCCAGTCCGTTTGCCCTTCCCTTCCTTTCCGAATTCCCGTCCGTCTAACCTTCCCTTCCATTCCAGCTTCCCGTCCCTTTGCCCTTCTCTTTCAATCCGGCTTCCCGTACGTCTGCCCTTCCCTTCCTTTCCGGCTTCCATTCCGTCTGCCCTTTCCTTCTATTCGGCTTACCATCCGTCTTACCTTCCGTACCTTTCTGACCTCCAGTCCGTTTGCCCTTCCCTTCCTGATTCCAGTACCTCTGCCCATCCCTTCAATTCTGGCTTCCCGTCCGACTGACCTTCCCTTCCCTTCCGACTCCCAGTCCGTCTGCCCTTCCC